AGCTCCCACACACCGCGACTGACCAGACCAGAGGGGCAGGACAACTGTGCACCGAACCGTTTCTTGAGCTGTCACAGGGACACCCTAAACAAGGGGGTGGCAAAGCCGCTCACGCACAGCACCACTTCGCGCAAGCTCAGAGCGGTTGCTGGTGTGCATCACGAGTAGCACCATAAGAAAGAAGCGGGCCCTGGGCAGCAGTCCTGCTTCACTTGGTGGTGGGAATTCGGTGTACGCGCCGAGTCTGGAGACTCTTTTTTCAATTTCAGTGGAGAAAACAAGCCCCTAACCTGAAAGGTTTTATCACTTAAACCATGTTGCAACAAACCTTTCTGATCCTTCCGGAGCCGAACAATGTTCTCTTCCAAGTGCTTCCTCCCATCGGTTTCCTTGAGGATGGCTGCAGAAAAGAGAAATGAAGAGTCCATGGAAGAGTCCAGCCCATGCACCCATGGGCTGAGAGCAGGGAGACCATTTGTTATTAGGGCTGATTTCACTTCAGAAAATGGGAATCATAAGACAAAGGGAAAACCGAGGCTTTTAGACTTTGTAGCCTTTGTCTACCTGGAAGAGATGTTCTGGAAAGCAGAGAGGGCAGAAAAATATTTGCCTTCAGAGCACAGCGTGGACTCACCTTTGACCACCATCAACACTGTGTGTGGACGATCCAGAGAGATTGCCAACCCTAAAGCTTTGAGGTATCTTTTCTCATGAAGCAGGTTAGAAAGCTCTTGCTCTCTAGAAAACAAATCAGGGTCAAGAGAGTGAGACAAATATTTGGTCGGTGGAAAAAAACGCTGTACGGAAAGTAGCCAATTTGGCAATGACAGTGCACCGAGAAGTTAATACCGTTTGCCAACGAATGCCTCAATGCCCTCATTGTGCAGATAATCACCCTGGCACATTCAAGGGCTCCCTGAACCCTTCAGCGCTGGCTGAAGCCCGAGAAAGTGAAAGCAGGTTTCAGTGCTTTACCTTTGCTTATCTTAGCAGTGCATAAACATGAAACTAGTCAATTGTCAAGCTGACAGTGTTATAGCAAGGCTTTGGAGGAAGCTGAAGATAAACTACAAGGTAGAAGACACTACTGTGCCTTGACAGCCTTTAAATAGCTAAATGATGCACTATTCTGATTAGATGGAGCTGGATGGCTCTAGGTGTGGACAGCTTCAGAGTTTGCCTTTCACAGCTCATTACTGCACAGGATCAACTTACTTCATAATCTGCTCCTCCTGTTTAGCTTGTGCCTCCTTCTCTTCGATTTCAGTTACATCCTATTAAAAAAACAGGATATAACTTTGTCAAATCTTGCTTTAATATAGCCGTCAATTGATTAGGAGACCAGTTTCTGCAGCAAGGTTTCTAGATCAGGTAATTTAAGTGTTAAAATCCAGCAACTTGCAACTTCCCTCCAAACCACCTTCAGAACACCAGCACCAGGCAGGCTGCTAAAGCCCATCTGCTGTTCCTTTTACATCATCAACTGGGAAAACACAGTATGACCAAAAAACCCCCTCAATCCCACGATATGCCTTACTGACCCAATTTCAAAGTGCAGAAAATGAGGAGAGTATGTGCCACGCTGGAACAGCGAGGAACAAGCCACTGGGATCCCGAGTTCTCTGGCTGCATTCTGATTACGAACCCAGAGAGCAAACACAGAAAGACCCTGTACCGTACCTTCCACAGCATGATGCAGGAGTCACTGGATGCTGTCACAACCATATCATCTTGCTTGCTAGAGTGAAGACCCCAGATTTTATCTTCATGACCATCTAATGTTTTCACACACTCATTTGTTTTAATTGTCCAGAGTTTTAAGAGACCATCAGAACCACTTTTGGAAGAAAAAGAAATACAACAAAAAAAATAATCACTGGATAGATCCATTCTCGCTCTGCCCCACCACAAGTATCAGATGAACTTGTCCCATTCCAGTTTGCTTTACAAACAGGATCAGATTTAACCAAAAATGTCAAGGGCAAGATGCACCCTTAGCTCTGCCTAACCATAGCGTACGTCACCAACCCAGCAATGTCATGGCAGATAACTAGAATCCACAGCGTAACTGGAGAAGAGGAAGGTAAGTTAGCCCCTGCAGAAAGCTTGGCATAAACATGGCATCTTCCTATCAGTCTTTCCAAAACTAAATCCACTGCACAAGACTCTTCCCTCTTGCTGCTGATATCAGCTAAGAGATTTCTCTTCTGATTAGTTTTGACATCTTCCTCTAGACTCCTGGTGTAGGCACTTACCTGCTGAGCAGTTGTGCTCCTCGGCTTACAAAAATGATCTTCAGTACAGAGGCATCATGACCTTCAAAGGTCTAGAAAACAGAAAGGAAGCTCAAAAGTGTTAGAGTTGTTGTCGGGCCTTTTGAGAGAGTCCTCTTTCAAGAGGATAATATTTACTCCTAAAGCCCAAATAGGTAAGTTCCGAAAAGCAGCCTCTATCCTTGGACTTCTACTGTAGGTTGAAAGGGCAGTAGGAAATTACTTGTCCCCATACCATTTCTTCAAAAAACCTGCATGCTTAAAACTTGTTGCCTGAGGTCAAACTGCAGATGGTCTGAACGGTGAGACCAACCGCATAGCCTATCTCCCCAAAAGGTTGATTCCCCTGCCACTACACGAAGCACCTGTTCAGTGAGGTAACACTGCTGCGCAGAACGTCGCAGAGTTACCAACTGCCTTCTCATGACCTTAGTGAAACATTCCTGGTCTGGAGAGATAGTTCTTCTATGAAGAGTGAGTCCAAAATTTAAACTTGTGTGTTTTAACTTGATGGCTGCCACTGTGTCAGGCAAAGCCACCTTGCTTTCAATATTCCCCCTATGATCAACCATGCTGCTCACTGGTTAGCTAGAAAAGAACGATCACAAGCACTGTGCAGATGCTCTTGCCCTGGAGCTTTGCACGCAGCTCGCAGATCCAAGATCCTGGAGAACAAGGCTAGACCTGAATAGCTCTTCCTTCAGCATGGCCATGTTGCTACATTTCACCTACACTAACTAGCACACACTTTTCTAAAGCAGCCTTAATCAATCCCCGTAACACGCAAGGGTTGCCTACAGCAAGGTGCAGTCTGAGTTCCCATCACCTTCAAACAGCTGAAGTCCCGAAGACCCCAAAGCTTCAGGGTCCCATCTGCTGAAGAGGTGCCCAAGACCTGATCCACTGGGGAGAATTGCACACACCAGATTCCACGCTTATGTCCAGTGAAGACACCCAGCAAAGAGCAATCAGAACAGGACCACAGCTTGGCCAGCCGATCCTGCGAGCCTGTGGCAATGAGCTTGTCATTCGGAGAAACTGTCACGCTGTTTATGTCCTAGAGATGTCACACAAGTACAGAGAGAGCAAAGCAGTTTAAGGCTTTGCTTTGGCTGTCAGAAAGGTAATAAATGTAGGGTACAACACAGGAGAGAAAGACTTAAGTACTAAAAGCATGTTCTAACATCAGGTGGGGCTTTACCTTGTCATGACCCCTCTCAGTCACTTTTGCATGAAGGGTTTCTGGACTAGAGATCAAGGCTGCTTTTGCTTTGGAAGTGAGGGATTCCGGGATATTCCAGATCTTGATTGTGCAGTCCTGGCTGCTGGATACTATGAAGCTTTCCTTCAGTCTGAAAGGAGTAAAAATGTCAAGTGTAAGGAAGCAAAGCAGTGGCTTCCCCTGCACAGAAAAAAAGGCCTTCTCCTCCCCTACTAGGATCTACACACATTCAGTCACTCTGCTGGGATGTGAAACAAAGTGCTTTAATGTTTTTTCAAGCTGTCTTTCATTTTACTTAGGTCCCTGGGATAGCCTCCAGCAATTCAGACATTAGCCAACAGCACTGCTAGCTCTCTTGCTTTACAAAGGTATAGTGCAGCTCTCGAACAGGCAAGCTGGGCTTCCAGACGTTGGGCAGCACGAAGAAAGGTGAAGAGCTGATAAACAGACATGCTATTCCAGCAGGCACCTTAACAGACACATTCCCTTCATTCCCCAACCTCCCTCACCAGATCACTCAAGCTTTATCTGAAAACTTATCCAGCTGCTGCTCTTTAAGGCAAGCGGGAGTTTGACAAAGAAATGCGAACTTCACAACTTATGGAGAGACAGATGTGCATCCAAAAAAAAATTAATCATCCTTCCTACAAACTCAGAGCACCATGGCAAGCTGCAACCAGGAATAAGAAACAGCATGCTCAAAGGCAGGCATCCACCAAAACATTCACCCTGAGGATCACCAGAGCAGCCATGGTTCATGCTTGCAAAGGGAAACCTTTGCCCAATTTTTATTACCTTGAGCAAGAGACTGCGCCTACCCCATTCGCATGGCCCAATCCTTGGGCGACGCAGATCACCCTTCCATCTTTGTTCATCCGCCAGACTCTAAGGCTTTTGTCCTGTAATGGAAGAGGACATAATCTGCTGTGTTTTTTTGACAAGTGATCAGTTCCCCATGCAGTCACCATATCCGTGAGCCTGATTATTCACTTATTCTCAAGCTTGAGCCTTTGCCTGCATTTGTCCGAGCAGGCGAGGGCAGACACAGCCAAACACCGTGCACTGCAGTCTGGGATCCCAGCGTCGAGGTTTGTTTCTGGGTGCATCAGGGCAGTCGGCACCTTTTCTTCCAAGACACTTTTTGCACGCAGCTCCCCATCAGTCTCACACCAATGACATCTCTGAACTCTAATGCAAGAGCAAGATGCTTGGAGAATGAGACATCTCCTTTAAGGCTAATAAAATATAATCAATCACATTTCCCCAGGGACAACATTAAAAAGGGATAGTGAAAGAATCTTATATTTGGGGGATGTAGCAGAGAGGAATTCTGTCTGGACAAAATCCCTTCCTGGATCACCAAAAAGGAATACGACAACTGTGCCCGTAAAAACCACTAGACATTACGAGTTTCATTAAATGAAGAAAACTAACACACCTTAGCACAGCTGACAAACATCAGGCCTTTTCTGAAGACATCCAAAGCAAGAATTGTTTCTAAACAGAAGAAGAAAAAACAGCTGAAAGCAAAATAATACCGAAACAGGACAACAGAAATGTGTGAATTAATGAGTCCACTGCTTACTGACCGGGGATGGGTTTGGGACACTCAGGAACATATCCACGCTCACTACGGCATGACTGGCTGCTTTTGGCATTGGTGCAAGTCTGTCACTTGCAGCCACAAAACTGCACTCATGTATCTGCATCTTTAGCTCCAATTTAAATTGATTTCACTGGTAGCGAAAGGGACTGAACTGACAGACATGGAAAAAGAAAACTAGCGTTTGCAAAACCAGGACAGCATAATATATCCTTTCTCCACACAACTTCAAAAACCTGTTGCGATGCTGTTGCAGGGAGAACTCAAGGACCGTGTGTCCACATAAGAGTTGTGAGAGAAGCTGGATAAAGAAATACTTGCACGTCTCCCACCCACCCATGTCAGAGCTGACCACAAACCTGTGTGGCCGTAGAGGATCTGGCAGTGTGATGTTGCCAGTTCAAACACTTTCAGCTGAGGGCTGTTGGTAGCCACGACAATGTGAGAATCACTGGGCCCAAGGAACTTCACGTCCAGAACCTCATCGTTGTAACCTGCAAGCTGAGGATGGCAGAAGAGAAACAGTTTAACAGGGACAAGTCAGCTGGCTAGAGAAGTACCAGATGGCATCACACGCTGAGGCTGCATCACCGTTGCCTTTCACGTAATGCTGCATGTAAAAATCTCACTAGACATAAGCTGGAGCACGGAAGGGATTTTCTGGCTCAGCCTGTTCTGCTTTCCTTTTCTTATGTTTGTGTCTGTGCAATATTCCTCCAAACAACCCCACCAGTGAAAGTGCTTTCTGGCTTGTAACCGAGGAAGAGTTCAAGTGTAGGCAAGAGAGGAGGACACCCCTGGACAAAGCTTTCACTAGTAACAGAGCTGATCCTCAAGCATGGATAAAGGAAGAGGAAAAGGGAGGCTAAGGGTCATTACCTGCTTCTTGAGATGAAGAGTTTGAGCGTCATATAAAACAATGTTGTGTTCCACAGACACCGTGACAATCTCATTTCTCTCGGGCACAAGCATGCACTGAGTGAGACTGCGCTCGCTGGCCTCCTCCTTCGACTCAAAGGGCACAGGCTGGGTGTATACACAAGCAGCTGTGGCAACTTCCCAAACTTTCAGGATGCCTGACAAAGATGATGACATAAATTATCTGTCAGAGCCACTGTTTCAGACAGTGATTCTCCAAAGAATATAAACCAAACCCTGGCCTTGTCTACTGGAAAAAGCTATGCAGCTTTAAGGCAGGACTGTAAAGAGATCCACGTGGCATAAAGGGCCACAAAGTTTTCCTCTTCAGTCCAAATCAAACTTTTTTGCAGCTTGAAAACATACATAACTAAAATTCCACAGCACGCCTGATCAATCCTGCTCATCCACTAGTGCCAGAGGATGCAGGAGAAGGCTCTGCTCTCCAGCCCTCAGAGTTCAGCCCAAGGCTTCTGCCACACAAAGAACACATCCCAGGAAAAATGGCATGCAGTGTCTTCAGTAAAGTCACAGAATCATTAAGGTTGGAAAAGA